GTACAATGTAACTTGTTGTAATATTGTAATAAATTAATTGTTTGGATATTGGGTTTTTTTTTAGATAAGTAACGGAAAACAAAGTCCAACTGCTGCGGGTGACTGAAATGTTATTAACCTCCACAAAACACAATTAAATTTAGTACATTGGTTACTTGGTAATTAGTTGGTATACACTTTACATCGCCAAATAACCGTAGAGCATAACCGCAACCTATTTGAGTACTTGACTGTATTACCTATACAGAATATAGATTAAAAATCGTGGATTATTAGTGATATTAAGTATTAAAATATAATATAATACATAAATAATTAAACTACATTATACAAACCTGTACGGAATTGTACAATTTTGTACGCATAGCACGGAACACGAATTTCTCCTTTCTTCGCTTTCTCCGGGAATACCCAATGCCACATTATACACATTTTATCATATATATATATATATAATTATTCTCTCTCAATCCTTCTCTCTTTCTATTTATCACTCTTTCTCATTTTATCTCTATCGTTACTTATGTGACAGTTTCAGCTGTATGAAAGGTATACAATGCATTTGTTTATATTCATTGTTCGTACTCTCGAGAAGGTTATGCCTATAAAATTGCTTATGTATACGTCAATGCATAATGTGTGTCGGTCTTAAAGGGTTTTTACATGACTGTGTTTGACTGTGGAGAACAATGGCGTTATTATGCGTTGAGGTTACGTGTGTTATGCGATAAAAAATAAATAAATTTAGATTTAACAATGTTATTACGATCGCTCCCAACGAGGTTAATAATGTTCCCCATCTATAGATTCGAAATAAAAATATTACAAATATGATATGACTTAGAACGTTGCGAGACAAATAAGTATATTCACTTGTAACAACTAATAATCAATAATTTTACACTTCATTGTAATCTGTACTGTTACGTTATCTCTCAGCATCCTTGACAAACCACACGTAGTTTTACATAATTATTAATAATTAGTGATAACTAAGTACTTGACATTCGTCAACATGCAATTTCAATACTAATACATAACATTTACTTCATTATAACTTTATTTTATTTTGAATCATAATAATATAATTGGCAATTGGGAATATACAAAATTCACCATCACCAATATAACCAACTATTGAACTATAAAAAGCTTCATAAATGTAACGTGCCTATACTATAATAGCAGCAAAAAATGCATATAATATTGTGACTAATGTAACTAGTAACAACGAAACATAATGAATTTCTAGATATCTCAGCATTTAACTGGTAATATTTCAATTGTTTAAACAGTTAGGATGCCTTTGGGTTAATTATAACGTCTTAATCATTTAATATTTTTTTTTTTTTCTTTTGTATCTCATACTCTATTATATGTTATTTTTTATGTTATGTTTTTAATTTCGAGACTAAAAAAAAGTTTAAATAATAATAATAAAAATAAAAATCATTTAATATTTTATTTAAGATTAATTCTGTTTAAAAATTTTCTAGTCATCCATTCTTCTCTTGTTTTCAAAAATATAACATATTTATTGAAATTCACGCGAAATAGTACACAGTACATCTATTCGGTAAGTTTTGAGTAATTTGTAATACCTAATACCTAATTAAAATTCAACCTCCACTCACCTTCTAATCTAACCAACCCCTCATATTCTTAAAATTATACATATGAAGGTCCTAAATATTTTGCCATTCTAAAATTTTGATCTCTAAGATTGTGGTCTATTCTACTTTCCTAGCGGCTATCCCCTGCCCTTTAGTGTCAATAAAAATTCCTGTTTACCAAATTATAATTTTGTTTTTCGCTATTATTTAAAAAAGTGCTGAACATTTTTTACCTTAATCCTTCTAAGTATTAACTAGATTAATTTTTCTACCAGGAAAAATGCTAAAAATTAAAATCGAAACATTTTATTTTTTGTTATAACAATTAACAAGTGTCAAAATCTAAAAAAGTTATGAGTTATGACTTAATTTATATTCAAGTATAAGAATGATTTTAGATAAATATCCAAAGGAATGGTAAGCAAGGGGTGAAGGCCTATGTACCTATAATATCAAATATATAATACAGGAAATATTAAATAATTAATATAAATTATAGATAGAAACTTTAAAATACTAGTAGCACCTATATAATGAAATAGATAATGTAAACATTGGCTGTTGACTGTTGTAAACTTATTTACACTCTATTCATTATTGTATCATACAAAACAACAGTTTCATCATACAAATAAATTGTAAACGCCTACACCGGCTAGTGGCTACATGAAAACAATGTGGGCAGGTATGCATAATAGACGTCATATAGTATGAATAATTTTTATAGATAGGTATGTTATCACTTATCACTACATAGCTTTTTACAACATATAATTTTTAAATCAATGAAATTTATTTATAATTAATAGTTATTTCTTAAAGTGTTAACATTGATTTTATAAAAATCACATTTGATTATTTTTTCACTTTCATTAGAAATATTTAATTTTAAATTTTTGGTAATCGGTTAATCTACTACTATTTGGTAGTAGAAGAGCCACTAGAACATTAGCTACTTGTTTGAAGAAGAAATTTTCAATATTAAATTACATACAATTTCAATTTTGTAATGTAAATATTTTATTATTAATACGCAATTACTTTATAAGGCAATAAATTGTGTATTTCTGTACCTATTATAATTTATATTATTTATCATGCATCATAATTATTAAACATTTAACATATCTATATACAATATACATTTTTAAATAAACATATTATACACATACAGTCATACTTTAAATTATAATCAAAATCTATAATATTTACTTACTTTAAATCTGCATATAAATGCATAACTCATGCACGTGCAGTTTTTTTATGCATTAATCATTAATAATAAACTTATTTACGTAAATGTTGTAGCTACCTCCAAAAAAAATTAATAGTTAATGGATGAACACAATTATTTATAATATGTTTATAATATGATATATTAACGTTATAGATATAAAAAAAAATCGGAATAAATTCAACGTCAATACGACCATATTATTATATTATGACGACTACGTCATGTAAACAACCGCTGTGGCGATGATTTAAGCAAAACAAATTGCCGTTTGGGTAGAACAATTTTGCTCATATTATAGTTTACGACTATGATAAGGTATTTAGGTATAACAAGAAACAACCCACATAATATTCATAACATGTTATATTTTTGTATGGTTTCATATGCTACGATAATTTTATTATTTTTAAGTATTGGTATAATATGTAAACACCTGCAGGTGGAAGGCGTATTATTCTATATGGTATTATCGAACGTTTAAACACGGAGTAAATACATAATTTAACAATTTCTTTTTTCGCACAAACCAGCTTGAATATTACCTATGGGGATTTCAAGTGTATCACTACAATAATTTAGAAGGAACCTACGCATTACGCGCGTTAAGATTGTAATTTTGACATTCGTTCCCGGAAATAAACAATATGTTATGTACGATATCACGCGTACGGATTGTAATCGCGTAACGAAAGAATTTGGTTTACTACAATCGCGTGGATAAACTGCGACATGATTTAAGTACACAATACGTTATTTCAATTTTAAATTTTCAAGTGTCATACAGAACAGAGGTTCTTATATAAACGGACGAGTTACGGCGAAGTATGTGTAGTTTCTTACTTTTTAGTTTTTTATGCATGTCATAATAAGTTGAAGAATACAAATTTAGGGTCCGCAAATTAATGCATTAAATATACTACCGAAATATGCATGCGCTTATGCGCATTGAAATATCCAATTTTAAGAAATTTTTAAGTGTAACCGTTGGGTTACTTTTTTTTACGTGAAATGTATGTAATAGTTTAACGCATATTCTTATTGCAAGTGAACTAACAAAAAAAAAGTAAAAACCTTTTAATATGTACAACAATTTTTAATTAAATTTCTTTTATTGGAAATTTAAAATATTAACTTATCATAGTTTTAACTATAAAACTAAAAATTATTAAATTAATATACATTTTTTTACACACTTTGATAAATGCCGCGCCGTCAAATACAACCATAAAAAAAAAAAATATATCTACATAAAATAAATTAATTTTGACTATTATATTATAATATGCAGTTAACAATGAAAAGTTTAATAAATATGTAAATAAATCAAAAAAAAAAAAATCTCGAAATACGCAACGTATTATAATATATTATGCAAAATACAATTTTAGATTTGACTTTAAACGGATATAATTCGAGTTTGTGGCTGATCCGTTAACATTATATCATTATAACCCGATCAGGAAAACATGGAAATGTTCACGTGTTTCCGGGTGCTATTAATATTATGACGCGGTATGGCAGCGGTGTCTATTCAATAGTAGGAGGTACCCACACTATCGCGCGTAATATTCGCGCGTTCACGGTTTTACTGTTTATTACGGGAAACCGTTTTAGTATTTTCGGAAAAAGATTAAAAATAAAAAATAAAAAATTCGCCACGAAATCAGAAGCCACCGACGCCGCCGTCGGACGATCGTGATGTGCGTTGATCGTATATTCGCATTTCGCTCTCGGCCATGCATGCGCAGCGATTCGCGACCTGCCGTCAGCCGCATGTGAACGTATCATTATGTACCTACGGCGGCGGCGGTGGCGGCGGGTGTGTGACCTCAGCGCTGGGAAATACCCGATGCAAAATCGACTACCGCTGGTTTTTTAGTACGACCTACCGTCACCATCATCGGCGTCGTCGATCCGATGTAATAATAATAACATACAACAATATAAAAAACGATTGCGATTTGCCAGACGACGGCCGCCGCCGCCACCACTGCCCCGGCTGTCAGACACACACACACACTTACGCGCGCGTTACGACGGTTTTCCCAGTCCATTAAATTCCTCGGTCGCGACGCGTTCCGATCTCGAATAGGTATTATAGGTAGGTTACTGGTTAAGTACCTAACCCGCCAAATAGTGCTGCGGCGATGTTCAAACGGCGTACGCCGCTGCAGTCCTGCGCCGACATATAAACGCGTTGTACACACATCGCCCGGACGAAATATAATATTATTTATGGTATAACCGTATGTATGATGTGTATTGTAACGACATTGCAGTCAACGGCGAAAACGATAACTTATTGCACGTCTCGTGCGTAATCGTATATTGCTAGCGATTTTCTTATCAGGACGCCGCGTCGAAAGCCCTTCCGTTTCGACTTTTCGCGCGCGTCATTTCGTAAAACCATACGACTCATCACCGCCGCTTAATACCTATTGGCTATAGGTTGACTCGCGACGGCGGCACACCTCGATCACACATGTATTGTTATTATTAAAAAATTTAAATCCGGGACAGCGTGATTGTAGCTAAATATATAACGGTAGTGTGATATTATATTATATCGTCCTCTACGATGCCGTCCGTCACAAAACATGTTCGCACGTAAATTGCGGTGCACACCGCTTTTCCGGCTTCCGCTAAACAAGACAAGATTATATAACGATTTTTCAACAATTGTTTGTTTAATTTTGTATGTTGTTGACTTACCGCCGCAAACGACGACCTGGTGCCTACCGATCGTTGCTTGCAGATAGCGACCATTGGAGTCTGTGCTTTTGACACAGTCGTGTATATATCGCTTCACTCGTTATGTGTACTTGAATCCTAGTACCTAACAAGCACGTCAGTCATCTGGAGCTTCGTGGAATCCAAATATTAATATATAGTTATTACTTTGCGTTGACGGAAATCGGTTGTTCGTTTTAAGGATCTGCGACGTAAAGGATTAAGGATGCGTTTACGTTTACGTGACCACGGATTCGCACTGATCGCTTCAGATGCCCGCGTTGTCGTCGACGAAGAGTCGACAAACAAGATGATGTCAACGATGGTTGTTCGCAAACTGTTTTTGGGTATTTATATTTGATAATATATTTATAACAATAGTATAATATATCATCAATAAACCAATAATTATTATTTTAATCAAGACTACGAATTTAATGCATTATAAAATTGGCGAAACATGCTTTAAAAATAAAAAGATTTTTTTTAAATATTTATATACCTATAATTATGTATAAAATGTTTAAACAAATTCCATTTAAGTACAAACATTTTTATAAAGAAACAAAATCTTTGTCAATATTACTATTAGCCGATATTTAGGGAACGTTATACATAGCTACATCCACATTTGTTGTCTCCATCTTATAAGTGCGTAACATAAGCAAGTTAAGGTTCAGCGGTTCAAATTTAGCTTCGTTAGTTTAAAAATTAAAGTGAATCGACCTATCATGAAACTTAACGGTAAGAACATTATTGGTGCCCTTATGTTTTTACGATAATTCATAGCAAGTAATAATATGCATTATTAGATTTCGGTATTTTATAAACGCAAATTTTTTAAAAATATGAAACCGCCGTAAAAAACTAACACATAAAAACAAATAATAGTCTTACTATTACAAATTTGATGATGGGTTGATTATCTAAAATTTTTAAATTGACGAAGCTAAATGTAAAATTCTGTGCATTAATTTACCAGACATATTTTTACGTATTTATAAGACAGAGACACTAAACGCGGGAATATCGTATTTTTAACTATAAAAACAATATGCTTACCACCAAATATGCAAATTAGAATTTTATATTTATAATAATATTTATATTTTTTAGGTATATAATATTATGTAAGCTAAATTTTGATTGAATTTAAAATTAATTATTACTAAGTAACAAAGAAGCAAAAAATTCATGTATAAATGCATTAAATTCCTAGTCTTAATTTGAATATATTATATAGGTGATTCATTAAGCATGATCTCCTCCATCTTATTCTTTAATAATACATTTATTCAAATTTCAATTTTTGGTATTTTTAAATAGGTATATTTAAAAACTATATTTTTAAATTCTTAAATTTTATTTGTACTGCACTATTACGTACTTTAGGAATATCTTGTGGTAAATTGGTGAAATAAACTTTTCAAACGAGAACCCCTCTTTGTTACTATAAATTATTTATTGGATAATTTTTTTATAAATATATACTATTAATTCAAAATTTTAACAGGTAATTTTTCGGTTTTTAAATTTTTATATTAAAGATAAAAATAGTTTATCAAAAATATAAAATAAATGTAATATTGAATAAAGTATTTATTTTTATACTTGGACTATTTTTACAAATTATAAATATTGTTAGATAAACATAAACATTTTTAAGAAACTATAACTTCCATGTCTTCCAAACATTATCATAAACCTATTACCCACCCTTATTACATAAATTAAAATAACTCAAATACTACTTGTTTTAATTTTCATGCTTAAAATAATAATTTATCCACTAAATAATTTGCAGTAAAAAAAAAAATAGTTCTTCTTTGATAAGTATAAGTTTATTTCCATAGGTCACTTCTCAAGTAATAAAAAAATAAATCTCAAATTTTAAAATGTTATCTTAAAGTATATTTAAAAATTTCAAAAATCAAATTTTGAATAACTGCATTATTGAAATTGAAGTGAAAACAAAATAAGCATGTTTGGTGAATCATGCTGTGTATATTATGTGTCATGTGTGTGTCTTATTAATTATAACTAAATCTCGACGGTTTATTTGACAATAATTAATAATTATTATTGTACTTGTAATTGGGTACCTATACGTAGATATACAATATATATTATATACCTAAATTTAATGAAATATTTTAATGTAGCTATCTTCGTATCATTTTCACTATACCGCGAAATTATGATATATTAATTTTAGTGCGGATGTACACATTGTACACATAATAAAATAATTAGGTTCTTGATACGGTTTTCATAGATCTTTCGGAATATTGTTTTATTCAATTTTACAATAGAGAAGAACCTGAAAACTTTATATCGATTGATTAAGCATGCTGGCCTCCATTATTATCTGTTGTTACGCATTATTAACGGAAATAGTCGTTAAAACAGAGTACTTAAAGATATTGTAGGTAAAGAAAAATGATTGTTTGGTATTAGGTAAACTATTAGTTTTTAGTCAATCTTTCCTTTAAAAAAAATTTTGACCAATATTTTTACAATTTTTCAAATTAATTTTACTTGTGTTTTTAAGTTGTATTTATAATGGTTTTTATTTTAAAGTCATAACTAATATGTATTTTTTATTCTATTATTAGTTGTGTCAACATACTAACATAGGTATTTTAGTACTTAATGTTTTTATATTTTTATAACTATTTATGGATGTCGTGAAACTTAACTTTTTTATAAGTTGTTTGGTTAGTCTTCGTGATCTTCTAAGAAGTCTTAACTCTTAAGATTGGAAAATTTTGGTTTAAGTTTTGAGGTTTTATCGAAGATTTTGAAGGAGTATCTTTAATATTATTTAGTCTATTGTAGAATAGTTTTACATTCTGTGTAAAGTGATGAATGTATTTTTAGTTATTTTTTATCCATGGCCCCGTTTATAGGTATGATAATTCTGTGTCGTGAAGCTGTTTATTTCACATAAACTAAAGTTTTCGTTGGGAATTTATTCTTGAGAGATGATAATATTTTTATTTTCGATGCAGTTGCCTATATTGGCAATGGATATGATTTAGTATAATAAATAATAATTCATTAAAATAAAATGTAATTAACTCCTTTAATTCAACTATATTTGTTGTTATAATAGCGAGGACACAACAATTCATCGATTGATCAAAATTATCTTGCAAACCTTCAGTTAATCATTCTCGATTTTGCTAATTCGTAAATAATTTGTTTTAAGGAGTCTAAAAATAATAAATGCAACATCTCAAAAGTCAAAATATGTTATGAAAACAGAAAAATATAATGTATTCCTAAACTCTGTTTCCTAAAGTCCATTTAAATAGTTAGTATATTGTTTGTAGATAATTTATCAAGACACTAAGCAAAATAATATATTGAATGATATAATGTAGGTACTTGCATTATGCACATTAATTAATAATCACAAAGTTTAATTTAAATTGAATAATTAAATATTACACATGTTTCATAATTAAAACTAAGTAATAATTGTATGACATTGCTTAATTTTTTTTAACTACAAAATAAACAAATACGCTTTGTAATAATAATTTTATAATTATTTTTAATTTTCATTAAAATATTTAAATAATATTTATAATTTAATATTTTAGTAATACGTATAAGTACAATCAAATTGTTTTTTTATAGGATTTAAAGACATTTTTAAAAGTATTTTAGAAATTTAAAATATTGATAGTCATTTAATAATCACAAATTGATGATTTTTCTAACAAAGAAAAAAAAATTTATTTTAGTATTATATATTTTTATGTATATTATTTTAAATATTTAAGAATTTAATTTTAGATAATTTCAAAAAAGTCAACACTTTAAAATAAAGACATCATTTAAAAAATATACTCTGTTTTGGCTAATTATATAATATGATTATATAATATTATAAATAATGTTTTCATATTTTTAGAAATAACGAGTAAAGTTTCTTAAATTTATTTATAATAATGTTCCAGTTGGTCCTTCCGGTTAACTATTTTATACAACTAACAACTATAGTGAAAATATAAACTTGTTTTAACGATACTTTCTAAATAGTTTATTATGCATTACTGCTGTAGGTTTTTCACAAAATTAATAGTATTTTTCGATCGTTTTCTTAGGTATTTTTATAGTTATTCATTTATAAACACAATGCCATTTAACATTTACATAGATAATTTTTAAACACAAAACAAAAATACATACTTTATAATAATTAGTATTAGTACGTGGATAATGTATACTATATATAATAACTTGTAATCATTGGGTTTTCACACTATTTAAGGAGTACCGAGTACGTATCTAACACTTTAATCAAGTACCTACTTAAAATAATCTACATAAGTAAACGTAATAGTTGTAGCAGTAATACCTAAAATGTAGGTAGGTAGTAAGTATTATAAAAACTAAAAAGTAATATAGCATTTCAGCACTTTAGTAGTGTACCTAAAGCATTATAGTTTTTGTAATTATGTATAGATACAATATAAATATTATTAGTAGTACTATATTATGTACCTATATTAAACTTTGCTAATTTATTACAATTATTATAAACATTTTAAATTTTTAATAATACATAATTTAATTTAATGACGGGATTTATGATTATGATTTATTAACCGAAGTACTTAAAGAGTATAGTTAAAAGTTATTAGTTAATGATTATTAATTAATAACCAATGATAGTTATAGTTTTTACGATTGTTTATTAGTTTCACTAATATTTTTAAAAATGTTTGGTTTTAATTTCTAAAATCTAAATAATTACTACCTAATTAAGTTATTTGTATATTTAACGATAAAATATTTGTAATTTATTAATTATTTACCTATTTAAATTAATTATTAGAATAAATCATTTAATAACAAATGTAATTTCAACATTTAAATGACTTACATTATATTATGGTTATATTTGGTATATAGTTATATAACGTTTTTTTAATTTGTAAAGTATAAAGTATATAAAATATAAAGTGATGTCATTTACATAATTATATTGTATAGGTTACACAATAATAAAAATATGAAGGAAAAATTAACTTATTTTAACCTTGTGAGTATTAATAACTGATGGGGCGCTAATAATAAAGAGACAAAAAACTTAAATTAAAATGTAATTCTAATTTACAATATTGTAACTATTATAGACTATAGTATAGAAAGTACACTTAAAGCATTAAAAAAAATTCAAAAATCATAAACATTTATCCTTAGATTTTAGTTATAAAGTGGGAAAATGTAAAAGTATAAAATATCACAAAAGATACTTGGTTATCGTATTAAAAATTGTTGTAATTTAAATTCCTGATTATTTAAAATTTAAATGGAGGTAGGAACTTAATGAGTTATAAATAGATGTCTTTTATATCTATAGACTATAGAGTTTAGACTTAAAATATGTTACATGTAAATTTCAAATACATCAGCAGTATCCGAGCTATAGAGCCTAGATGATTCATTCTACCTATGTTTTTTGAGCCCATAGACAAAAAAAAAATTATTTTGGCCCTCAAGTCCCTCTGTATAAACTATAAATTACCAAATTTTCGATCTGGTCCGTCATTTGAGTTCTTTGGCGAGAACACCTTTTATAGATTGTTGATATTCAATAATGTATTACAAAATAAGTTCTAAAGGTAATTAAAAGGAATAAATATTTTTATAATGATGACATTTATTATATACATTTTATCACATCTAAATGATTTTTTTAAAGATAAACTATACATCTTAAATTCTACGTAAAATTTGTGTAAAATTAAAGATAGGTAACGATTACATTTTTAATGTGGTATCGCACTGAATCAGTTTTTGTGCAGAATGAATAATTGAAACAGGCAATTTACTATTTAGATAATTTAATTGACCACTCACATCTTTCAATTTACCAGCCCTCTGAATATTCTTTTTTTTAGCACGTTTTTAAATGGATTAAAGTTATTTAATGAAATTTTAGTGTTTATAGTAAAATTATAGGAGAACGACTTGGCACTCTGCTGTAGTAGGTACTCTATTATTTCACTTATCTACCCACCCAATTTTTGAGGCAGTTCAATATTCAGCTACAGGCCACTGGCCGCCTGTCCTACGTAATAATATTAATTACGACAGCGGATTACAAACTGTTGTATGAACTATATGGCATGCGGCCTATGATCTTGTACCCTTCACTTTCGTATTTCAGATTTTTGTTGGCCACCAACCGCATAACCATAAAGACGTCTCGCATGCCGTAACAGCAGCCGCCGCTGCTGACACAGCGAGACTTTGGTAGACAGTTGGTACCTCAGATTTATATAATTATTGTATATTATCGTGTGGTTGGTACAGTACTACGATCACGACCGCATATTTAGCTGCAGCAGCAGCTGACTGCGATTCCCGTATTTCCGCGCCGTGATAATATCGTATCCACATCATAATAATAATATTATATTATTATTATTCAACATTACCATAATATGATAATGATATCTTGTCCGCCCGTCATCGTTCTCAGTTCGGTGTTCCTCGGCCTCAGTCTCGAATTTAGACTTGGTGCTTCGGCAGTTGGCGGTTGGCGAGTTGTAACTTGTAGACTGTAGTTCAGTAGTTCAGTACTCGCGTAGCTGTACAGTTACGGTGTTGTCAGCTGTTGTGTTCTGTTCGTGTGCGTCGTCGGTCGCGTTTGGAGTGTGAAAATACAAAAGTGCCATACTGGCATGTAGCAATCGAGTCCATGAATTCATACCGTCCTAAATAATTATTATTGTCTACCGATTGTTTTTATTTTTTTATTTTACGTAAATGTATTTTGTGATCGTGTTATAGTCTTCAGATTGGTTTTTCGAAGCAAAAATTATTATCGTCTTTCTAGTCCATTTGTGTTTATTTGTGTTCTGTATTTTTGGTAAATCTGTGTTGTACCTAATTATTTATAAATTTATTTTTTATTCATTTATCGCGCTACTGTTTTGTTTCCGATTTTATTTTATTTTTGAAAACGACAAGAGGTCCTGTTTAATCAATACTACTGCTCCTCGCTTACCCCGATAATTAGTTTGCATTACATTATCAGGCAGTTGTGCACTAGTTTTTACAGTATAATAATATTCTCATAATATACGCCGTTGAAGTGAATATTTCTTTCACTCATAAACACACTTTTTATTGACATAAAGTATGTGGTCCAAGAGCAACGCAGACAAACTAAAAATGGAACTTTCAGGCAAGCGGGAGAAACAACAGCAGTCCAATAAGAGCGAGAAAATTACTGAAGACAATGCTAATATTAAAATGGATTCTGGATTCTTGTCTGGTGCCAATCTGTCTTGTGATATGTTTTCCAAAGAAAATATTGAATACGATACAAAAAATGAAGAGCTCAATTTCAAACAACCGAAAGAAACACCAAAAATTGTCGTTGATAGTGGCTTGGATATCTGTGAATCGGGTTGCTTGAGTGAATTGGATGTTGACCAGAAAGATGCCTGCAAACCTTATTCCAAAACTGAACACAATTGGCAGCTTTATTTTCAACAGAATGAAGATGGCGACACGTATGTACCGATATATTTTGTATTTATATTTCTATACTTACCTAATCTTTATCTATAACTATTTTCTTAGTGTCAAATTTAGACTTAAATAGTTAAAGTATTCATAATTTCTTAATTAATAGTGATACTATTGATTAACTATTAATGGTAGATAGTTAAAATATCAGTCATGTTATATAGGTATATCTACCTAATTAATTTTATTTTCAACTTTTTTTATAGATCTAAATGATAAGTATCTCAACTTAAATGTATATATAAGGATTAGGTATATAAAATTATAATAACCTTAAAAATTATGAAATCAAGGTTAAATGTTAATAATTATTAAATTAGGTACTAGATATGTAAGAATTTTAAAGATTTTCTATATGTATATAGTGAATTAATATTATTATTACTAAGATTAATACTTTATTTGGGATTATATTGTAGTGACATCAAAGTATGTTGGTGGAAACATTTATTTTAATAACATCCATTTATAAAAAGTTTTAGATAAAATACTGGGATCTAATTTTGGTATTGAAATCTGTTTTAATTGTCTCATCATATTTTTAAGATTTCTATACTACTATTAATTATGTGCAGAGTCACTTAAAAATCTAAATTTATGTTGGGGTCTAAAATAAATACATGAATACAAGCCTTATAGTGAAACTTTTTTATTATTATTTTATGTGTTTCTACAGAACTAGGTAACACATACTATGCCAATTTATCTGGTCCTACAAATTTCTTATTATGAAAAATAAAATATTCTTAATCATTGTTAAAAATAATCTGTTACAGTAATAATTGAAGTCTCTAACCTCTAATAAATTGTGACCTTGGGTATACAAATATACTTGACCACTTTAAACTATTTTAAAATTGTGTTTTCCTTCTTTTTGATCAAATTGCTGCAAAAGCCTACTATTTCCATTTATGTTACTAATTTTTTTTAGCATTTTTTTCTACAAAATGGACATTGAATTATACACCTAGTTGCACTGTTACATGTATTTAGCATAGTAGACTGTTTCTTTCTCATCTTAGCAAGGTAGGAACCAAAGTAGACCTTATAGAGCGCTCGCATTGTGTGAAAGTCATACCGGACTTCTGTCTACTTTATGCTTCTAGGATTTAGTATAGACCAATTCCTCATAGTGTACTTAACTTGTGCTTAAATTGTTGTTAGATTGTTACTTTTTAAATACTGTTTTTTATTTGTATTAATATTCATGCATGAAACTGAACATTTATTTTTATTTTTTAGGCAACTTCATCTTTCTATTCTCCATGGATATATCCAAGTTTCAAAACGGTTAATTGATATTTGTCCAGATTCCAAACTTTTAGATATACGAAACGATGATGGCCAAGTAAGTGTATAATACTATCATATTATAATAAATCTAATTAAAGAATAATTAAATATTTTCTATACCTATTATTTTAAACTGGTTTTAAGATAATAAAACCCATTTACAATTACACAATTCAGCTTCAAACTTCTTGTATACTCTAAAAAATATGATTAATTCCATTAAAAATACTTTTTTTCATTTGTTTATCTCTTTTAACTTATATTTTTTAACAGTTATAAAAATATGTATGCATTAATTGTAACTGTTAACTAGCTGTAACAGTCTTATTATCTGGCAAGTTTATGATCTAATGTTATTACTACATGTTGATTTATATATGAGTCATACACAATAAATAAATAGAAAATATTAGTAAACTATAATAATGTTATATTTATACTGTTAAAATTAAAAATTAGTTTGTTATTTATTTATTTATTATTTAATAGGCATAATACCCAATAGTACTGTAATATACACAATTATTATATTTTTAATTTTTCAATATCATATAACAACATTGCTTACTTTTTTGATTTTATTAATAAATTTAATGTTCTAAATCATTACCAGTCTACTAATTAACTTACTTATAACACACGTTATTTTTAATTAATTAAATCTCTGAAACTTATTATTTTATTATTTGTGAGTAAATAGGTATTTTAATTTTGTTTCCATATATTTTGCTTTGTATGGTATTATTATAATATTATATGTGTTAATATATTTTTTATGGATTCGTGTTGATTGATAACTTAATTTTGGTTTTTAGAGTGCTCTCCATTTGGCTGTTATCACGAACCAGTGTGAAATTGTAAAATACTTAATGATGGCTAATGCCAATGCAGAAATATTAGATTGTAATGGCAATACAGCAGTTCATTTGGCATGTTATGGTGGAAAACTTGATTGTTTGAGAATATTAGCTAGTTATGTATTATTGCCAAAAATATTAGATACTATTAATTATGATGGTATGTATCTATTTTTTATTATATATATAGATAATTATTTTTAATTTTTGTAAATGTTTTTAAATGGTAATTTATATTATTATTAAAAAAAAAAAAAAAAAATGATTCATCTACAGAAAATTATAGTTTAATATTTATTTGGTTCTATAATTTTGGTAACTTTAGAACATAAAATCTTACATTTGAGTCAATAATTAGTGGTAATTAGAGTACAACTCTTGGTATTTAATATCAGTTTGTAATTAAAGTTTGAATGCTATGTAAATAATATTATAAAGTGATTTACTGATAAATGCATGATTTTAGATAGTTTTTAACATATTTATTTAACAAAGAAGCAGATCTTTAATATTATTATTTGACCTTTTATATTTTTATTTAATTTATAAAATGATTAATTACTTGGATTATATATTAGCATTTACTAAATTTAAGTAGTTAAATAAATATTTAATTAGTTTTACAAGAAAGGAGGAAATACTTTATGAACAGTGAGCATTATTTTAAAATATTTTTATATAATACACTGTCCTTGATTGTCTCCCATCCTGTTGAGTGTTTATAAATTTGGCCGTGATTCATAATGATGTTATGTGAACGTACAAAGTTAATTTAAGTATGATAAGTACCTAGATTAAAAATAATAAAATTTGTAAAATATTATTTAATCAAAATTCTATTAATTCAAATCTTATAATATATACTTTTTTTAGATTTTAAGACGATTATAAAATGTACTGATTCTATAAAAATGTTTTTTATTTTTAAGTAAGAAAAAACTTTTTTTAGTAAAAATATTACCCTTATCATATATTTTAAGAGAGATGTCTGGTAGTAAATTTAATTAGTTGGTACTGTTTGGAGGTCAAAATTGAAAACTCTGTACTTTTAAAAATTATAACACTTGTTAAAATTTTAATATTATTATTAAAAAAATTATTTGGTAACTTTGGTTTCCAAAAAGTTAGTATTTGCTTAAAATATCTTAATATTTGGTTATTTATATAGATTTGAATTTAAAATTAACCATCGGTATGTTATAATATTGGATTATATCTTATTCATTAATTGTCTTATTATATTATGTCGTACTGGCAACTGTCTGGTATTGTATTGTTATATAGTTGGCTATAATACACATTTTTGTATTGGAAAGTACATGGACATTAAGGTAAAGTTCTTAAGCTATGACTTGGGCTAATCACTAGTCGTTACATACTGTTAATAGACCAGTACAATAATTGGCCATAACAAAGACTATAGTAGCAGCTTGAAAATTGTACATTTATAAATTTTAGTGGCTTGATTATCATAAATACAGTTTATTATGTGGCTTATCATTACTAATTTATTGATGAAAAATAAATAAATGAGTATATTTTTGAAGAATATGACAAAAGATTTCAGATTAAAAAAAAATTTTTTTAATTTTTGTTTATGTTAAACTATTTTATTTGATGATTTTTTTTTATTAATAACTATGTATATCAGTTTTTCAAATTGGAAAATAATTTTCATTTGTGAATGTACATTTGTTATTTGAGTAGACCATATACTTTATTTATAAATTACATACTGTAAACAGTCTTATACAACATTTGATTTAAAAATAATATATTCAACTTTTTGAAAGAAATTAACTGCTTTTAGAATTGAGTTTTATGTATAATTAGATTTTATTTTAATTATTATTTATTGTTAGGACAGTTAAAATAATATTTGATAGATGTGTACCATGGGAAGTAGAGGGTGAGGAACAATATCTACAGCAAAATTTTTTGATAACATCTTTCCCACCCTATTTTAAATATTAAACTACTAGTAGTGTATAATATGTTTATTAAATTAAAATAAGCCAATTAAATATAAGTTGTAAATAGTTAATGAATAATAACTAATTAGTACCATTAATTTATAGTAATAAAATCTAATTATTGCCATATAATAGAATTACAATGAAGTATTGATTTCTGCATAATATATAATTTTAATATATTGGTATATTAATGGATATTTTTAAATTTAATTTATATTTTTTGTTTTAGGTTTAGCATGTATTCATATTGCAACAATCGCTAACCATCCAAATTTACTTAGATTTATTGTTAATAGTTCAAAAAATGTGAATATCACAGTAAGTTGAATATTATTTTTATTTTTAATAATTTTTGTTATAATTTAGTATTAAAATCTAGTTTGGGTTTCAAATGCACTAGTAATTTTTAGTTTATAATGTTTGCATTATAAAAATTTTATATTTGTAAAGCCTAATTTCACATGGTTGTGTATTGTATACGTGCATTTTTAGTTTACATGAGAAAAATTCATACATGCCATGTTGACGAAGGAAACACACTATCATCATCTGAGTGGGACATACATTACGTGACTTTGTGAAATGGGTTTTATTCGTATTAATTAAATTTTTTGTTTTAATCATAACAGTACAAAAAAAAATGTTAAATAAATTACTAACAAATTAATAATTAATTTATAGGATTATAAAAGTGGATACACGGCATTACACTTTGCAGTAGCTCTAAATAGAGCTAATCTAATTGAATGTTTATTAGATAAAGTCGATCCAAACATTGAGAGTTATGCTGGAAAATTAGCATTTGAAATTGAAGGTGATTATGATGATGAAGATGAAGAAGATAATGAAATTGTATGTTATATTTATTTATTTTGTTATTTGTTTATGTAAAGCTTATTTTTAAATGGTTATTTCAGTCCGACGATCTTGTGAATTCAATGAACGTACTTCAGTTACCTAATAACAGTTCAATCAAGTGTTGAAGAATTTATATACCGATGTTGTTTTATCTTTTCCTATATTAGCATTCAACCACCTGATTATAATTTTTAAAATCTAGATATGTTTAAATTAGTACATTAATAGTTAAATGTGTATTTTGTAATTTTTAAATTATTATTGATTCCCCTCCCCGTTTTTATGTATTAATATTATTGGAATGTATTTGATATGCACGTTAACTTTTTTTTTATTGTTGGAAATGTCCAATGAATGTTATGTGAATGGAATATTTTTTGGTGATTTTTTAATAAATGTATTTATATGTTAAAAGTATAGTATGATAATATCATTCAACTGAAAGTGTACCAAAATAGTTGGCATATATCCAATTAGTCTATAATATTTAACTACACGTTTTTTGACTAATCCACAAACATTTCACTTATTCAAAAAAAAGTTGTATTTTTTGTAATATGACTTAATTGTCTTTAAAAAATTTAAATTAGTTAATGGCATTTTTGCCCTAGTGATAAATTAATAAATATGTATTATATTTGATGTAATAGTGTAGTATAAAATATATACTACACATTATATTATGTGTGCCATATAATAACACATGCTCTCCAATGAGGTGACATATCAACCCCTTGAAAATGTAAATTTTATACATTTTTTTTTTCATTGTAAATTATTACTATTTTATTTTAATTAATAATAACACTAGAGTAATAAATTACAGGTGTGTATATAATAGATTGATTATTAATTCTTTTTAGTTATTTTGTATTATAATACAAATAATTATTGTATTTTTTACACTTGTTTCCTCTATTTTTTTTGCCAATTCAAACAATGAATACAGGCCGATAGTCTGTCTTTGTTTTTTAAGTGTTTTTCGTATACAATGATTTATTATTAAATTTAAATTTATCAAATACTCTACAATGATTTAGTCGACGTCAAGTAACTCTACTCTATAGTAGTGATTACTTACTACTCCTCCCTTTTTTTTTTAATCAACATTTCTTATTCATTGTAAGGATAAAGATTTTTTATGAATTAATAATTATTTTGATAAGTTAATATTATATTTGATAGTATGGAAGCTATATCAAACTATCAGATCACAATTATAATTATTTATACCTTTATAAATGTACCTATTTTGGTTTTGGAAAATACAACCTTAATATACTAGTCAGTTTTGGACTTAAAAATCTGTTTCCATCAATTTTTTTTATGTATCTATAATTGAAGTAAAAATTGATTTTCAAAATGTCTAAAATGTGAAAGAGTAGACTATTACATAGCAATCACGGTATTTATTTAAAAATATAATATTTATAAATATATAAGGTATTTAGGTATATCTTAAATTCTTAAATCTTTACGATTACAGCATTGCACTCAAAAGTCAATACACTCAAATACTCAATAGTCAATAACAATTAACAAATAACAGCGTGAACATGTGATTATAATTTATTATGATAATCTTTTAAAAGACTATAGATTATAGAATAATATTATGGTTTGATTATTATTATTATTATTTTATGCAGTTGTGTTCACCGTTGGAACTGAAAATAATGTTGGTACCACTGCCCGGTGATTGTTTTTTTCTTCTCGACCATCGAGTATTCGAGTCTCGATTCTCGACAATTCTAGAATATTCTTCTATAGTTGTATGTTGTATTCTGGTCGTTTAGAATTCTGATTCATTTCAATTTGGATTTTGAATCGTTCAAACTTGCGACGTTTCCTCGTGTGCAGAATTATTGAAGAGTATATACCAAATTATATATTACTTATAGTTTTTTATTCATAATTCATTATTACTTTCATTTTTAAATCGTATCAACCGAATAAACTGCCCTTTAAATAATGGTAAGCATCGTCATTGTTAATTAATTAAACTTGTCTTAAGTAAGAACTCGAAGATAAAATATTAAAATCTTGGTACTAAAATAAAATGACAAGTATATATTTATAATTAGTACATTATTGGAAAAATAGTCCATTATGGTTCATACATGTGGTTAAAAATTTTTTATCATTTTTTAGGCGCTGGATTTGAAAGATAAAGGTAATGCTGCTTTGGCAGCCGGAAACTATGATCAAGCTATTGAACATTATACTCAAGCTATTGCGTTAGACCCCAAAAACCATGTACTTTATAGTAATAGATCGGCTGCGTATGCAAAGCAAGGCAAATACCAAAACGCGTTGGAAGATGCTGAAAAGACTCTGTCCATTAAGCCAGATTGGCCTAAAGTATATTAACCTTGATATATTAACAATCTATAATATGAAATATTTAATCTAACTTTTTTTTTTAAATTTATTTTAGGGATATTCGAGAAAAGGAACAGCTTTATCATTTTTGGGGCGTAAAAATGACGCTGTCAAAGCTTATGAAGATGGTTTAAAGTTTGACCCTAGTAATCAGCAGTTGCTTGATGGCTTAAGAGAAGTGAAACAAACTCAACCTTCTTTTGGAGGCAATAACATGTTTCCAGCAGAAGCTTTTTTAAAACTTGCACAGGATCCCAGAACTAAAGATTTGCTTAATGATCAAGAGTTCATGAGTCTACTAATGGAATGCCAGAAAGACCCTCAAAAGTTAATGTAAGTTTTTAAAATTTATGTCACTAAAATCTTAAACATTTATACCTAATGCTGTATATCTGCATAAGCGTTTAATTGTAATGGCAATATTAAAATTAATAAGTTAAATTTATGTTAAATGTTAGGTATCTGCTTACATAAAATAATTATTACTAGAAATTAAAAGTTAATTTTGATCAGATTTAATATGAAAAGGAGTAGTAAAAATTAACAATATTTTAATATTATTACAAACGACTGTCAATTTATTTTTTCACAAATAATACTGTACTTAGTGCCATAAGTGAATGCATGTAGTGGTTGACCGAAACTCTTCTTTCACTGAGCATTTTCATATAAAACTGTCATCTTAAGCGTTTGACTTCTATGCATAGTAGTAGCCATGAGTGTGCTACAGCCAACAATAGCATAGTTTGAATTTTGTTTATATAACATAGTACAGGTATTTTTAATCTTATTTATGACTTACTACAAAGACTGTTGTTAAATTTTTTAAATAAATAAATAAAATTGAATGATATTGAGATTTGCATCAAATCTTATTTATTAATAATTCATAAGAACTATTTTAAATGAGACATAAAACAATAAAAATTGTGTTACACGTAGTGATACCTACATATTTTCACAATATGCTTAAATTACATAATTTTTATTCAAAAAATTTCTGACTTCTATCGGAATTAATATGAACATTACAGCTTTTTCCTTTTTCTTGTTTGCAAATGCTAATTAATAAAGCTGTATAATATATAAATATCTTTAAAATGTTATCTAAGCGTATGTTCAAGTATATTGTAATCACTTTATATTGATTACCAATATTCAATAAATATATAATATTAAGGTACATATTATTTAAGTATAATGCATTGTATAAGTGTATAATATCCGACATTTAATTTTGTATAATGATATTAATTATCTTTAATAAATAACTCTAATATTAATTTAGTAAAGTTCATTCATAGTTTTTATAATAACTACCAGATAAGAATAATTTTTAAATAACTACTTATTATTTATTTGTTATTTTTCTGGATAACAATTTTTACTTAGCTGAATAGTGGTTTATTAATAAGGCTAAAATAACATAATTAGTATTTTTACTATATTAAAATTTTCTTATTTTAGTATGAATATGCAAGATCCTAGAATATCAGCTGCATTAAGTGTAATGATGGGTATTAATTTAATGGGAGATGATGAAAAAATGGATACTGAACCGTCACCTCCACCTCCAAAACAAAAAAGGGAACCAACACCACCACCTCCTGAAAAAGCTGAAGATGAAAGTTTAACAGAAGAACAAAAAGAGGCTATTAAAATATCATTTAATAGTTTCTTCAAAAGTTAAAATTATTAGTGTTTTTTTATGTAAATAAACTAACTTATTACTTAAAATATTAGTTTTAAAATTGGTACAAAACAACAGAAATAGAATTTTTTTGATACAGTTGCTTGAATTACTTCTGGTGATATTATTTAATTTAGATAATATATAATGTTACCTTTGTTTATTTTTTGTTTATCAAAACAATTAAAAATATAGTATATTAAATAGTTAATATAATTATATTAGTTATAACTTGTATAGTAATTGTGCTATCATATTTATTATGCTTTAAATTTAATTAAATGTATATTTTAATGATTTTAACCCATAGGTACAATACTTAATATTTATTTTATTTATTTTTTTTTTTATGGTTATATACATTTTATGTGCAGGCTAAAAAAGAAAAAGACTTAGGTAATGAAGAATACAAAAAGAAAAATTTTGAAGCAGCTCTTGCACATTACAATAAAGCTATTGAGTTAGAACCAACAAATATGACATTTTACAACAATGTTGCTGGTATGTTGATACATTTAATTTAGATCTAGTTAAAAATTATATTTATGATTAATATCATAATATATTTATTTTTCTATTTAATGATAGTGTATAGTGTTGCTAGCTGTACCATGGTATTCTGACTGTAAAATAATTTTCAATTATGAAAAGATGTTTCAATATTTTTAATTTTATACAGTTCATATAAGTAAGAGGAGTTTACACTTGAAATTATACATAATTACACATAAAATATAGTTAACTAGCCTACAACATATCTATTAAAATGATTATAATAACATAAAATACTGTCAGAAATATTTCGAAAAGTATTTATCCTTTTTCGATAAATAAAACAAATATTAGATTTATACATATGACATAAAGATATAGAGACGTATTACACTTTTAAATAATACTATAAGATAAGTGATGTTGAATGTGGCAGTTTGAATGATCCATTTTATTTGGTCCAGGATAATAACAAATTAGTATTTATTTTTTGAAATTTGTATCTAAATTTCCAATAATTTTTAAGTCAATAATATTAACACTATAATTTATATAATTGTATAATTAAAATTTATAAAATCATATTTTAATATTTTTTTTCTTTATAAACTATATTATTAAATTTATAGTTAACTTAAGTAATATTTATTAAAGATAAGACATAAACACATAAACTACTTAAATATGGGAATAAATTAAATACAAAAATAATTATAATATATTATGTATGAATGATTATATTATAGTGAAACTAGCTGCCAGACTTTTTTTTTAATATTTATAATAAATATACAATCCATGTAATAATAGCACAATAAGTATTTGTGATCAAGTAATATTAACAGATGAATTCGGGATAAGAAGTCACCCATTAGTGACACTTCAGGACTGCCAGATTAAAATTTAAATCTACAGTTCTATGTATATTTAAGTTTTATTTGCATTTTAAAATAAAATATCTATAGGTATTTAACCTAACTTTGTCTAAATTTTAATCTTTTGAATTTGTATAGCTGTTTATTTTGAACAAAAGGAATATAAAAAATGCATTGAGCAGTGTGAAAAAGCGGTTGAAGTAGGTAGAGAAAATAGAGCAGATTTCAAATTAATTGCCAAAGCTTTCTCTAGAATTGGAAATGCTTATAAAAAACTTGAGGTGAGAATTGTTAAATTTTTCATATGTATTATTAATTATTCAATACTCTATTTATCATTTTCATAATTAGGACTATAGAAGTGCAAAAACATATTTCCAAAAATCAATGTCAGAACATAGAACTCCAGAAGTAAAGACTATTATTTCTGAACTAGAGAAAAAAATTAAAGAAGAAGATCGCAAAGCATATATAGACCCAGTTAAAGCTGAAGAAGCCAAAGAAAAAGGAAATGAATATTTCAATAAAGGTAATTGTTTCAGAGTAAATACATTTAAGGTTCTGTAGTAATTATATTGAAGTATAGTATTTAAACTTAAAATTTCTGGAAAACAGGACTTTGGTGAGACATAATTTAATTTTTAAGATGGATCTTGATTTATTTATTAAAAAGTTAAATTATGTTTTAACTAAGACAAATTTAATTTTTCAATATAATTAAATAGACATACTTTATTAAGGTATTAAGGTCTAATAATACAGGTCTAATTTAGGTATTAATTTAAAATAGTTTTTATAGGAACAAAATATTTTATTGAATGCCAATTATATGAAAATACGTATGTTTTATATGTGTAATAACTGGTAATAAACACAAAAAATTATTGGCGACTTGTACCACAGCAATCACACTCGTTCATAATTATTATTTATCAAATTTTCTTTTAAAAATGTTTGCTCTAACCCCTTTATTACTTTAACAAATGCTGTGTAGAACATTTGTACAAATAACATAGAAAATGTAAAATATATGCAACTTTATAGATTAATGTTAATATTTTTATTTAGTTTTATCGTCTGCAGTAAAAACTAAATTTGATTCAAATTTTTCCTTAGGTCAATTTGCCGATGCTGTCAAATCTTATAGTGAAGCAATTCTGCGTAATCCTGATGAACCTAAATATTATAGTAATCGAGCTGCTTGTTATACTAAATTGGCCGCTTTTGATCTTGGTTTAAAAGACTGTGAAAAATGTGTTGAATTAGACCCAAAATTTTGTAAGTGTATTTTATTTTTGAATAACAAAAAAAAATAAATAAATAAAATACAATTTTGTATATAAATACATTTTATTTTTATTTACAGTAAAAGGATGGATTAGGAAAGGTAAAATTTTACAAGGTATGCAACAATCTTCTAAAGCTTTATCAGCATATCAAAAAGCACTGGAAATAGATTCATCTAATGCTGTAAGTTGATTGAGATATTTTATTTTATTCGTGTATTTAATTAATATAAATATATATATTTTTAGGAAGCCTTGGAAGGTTACCGATCATGTTCTATAGCAGCAAATTCAGATCCCGAAGAAATGCGCAAGCGTGCTATGGCTGATCCTGAAGTTCAAGATATTATTAGAGATCCTGCAATGCGTCTTATACTTGAACAAATGCAGAATGACCCTAAAGCTTTAAGCGAGTAAGTCAATTAATAGTAATTAATACTAACTAATGAGTGACTTCTGTACTTTTTAATAATTATTATTTTTTATAATTTTTAGTCATTTGAAAAATCCAGAAATTGCTAGCAAGATCCAAAAATTGATAGAGTCTGGATTGATCGCCATTCGTTGAATTTAAGAATGTTTGTTCATCTTACACTACTTTAAATGCTTTTTTTATATATTTATATTATATTTTTGAAGTTTCTTTCCAATAATATAATATGCAGTTAGGGATGATAATGATTAAATTACAATACATAAAATATATGACTTGCGTCTTAAACTATATTTTAGGGTTATTTTAATAATGTTTAAAATTTTTCAACTTTTATATTTTATGTTCTAAATGTGTAATTGTGACCTTAGTTTTGAATATTGTTACTAAAGAATATGATTTAGATTACACAATTGTCTTTGGTAAAATAAAATTTATGAACTACTAAGTTAATCATTTAAAAAATCAATACTAAACCCAATTATTATAAGTTATACAACTTATTGAAATTTGTTAAGCATAATATTAGTAAAAGTAAATATGATATAATTATTTTTAAAGTTAATAAAAAGATAATGCGTTTTTAAAATATTTTATTTTAAACTGCTATCTTTAGATATTTTAAAATTCATTTCAAGTACAACTAATATGTTTGATAGTATTGAACTCGTTAATAATTTATTCCTAATCCTAATGAAGAATTTGTAAAGTAATTATTTATTTATTAGTTAATATGTGATGGTTATATATGAAAATATATCATATTTTTTTTTTTACTTTTTGCTTCTATTCTAAATATTTAGCCAATCATACAAAAACAAACAGATCCTGTGCACTATATTGTCCATGGAAAGTGCCAACTATAACATGTTTTATTTTATATAATGAGTTAGGTTACTTGACGTTGCCCTCCAACCAGTAACGATGCATTCCTTCATCATTTGCATGCGTGTTGAAATTATTGTCATTGTTAAACATTAAATTCTCATTTATTTTAATCATTACATAGGTAAATTAATTAAAATAATTCTCGTAAATAATACCATCTCTTATTATATAATAAGTATAGCTGTTACCCGTAACTTCATTTGCGTCAATTTCTGTTATTATGATCGCGATTAAGAAGTTTTTAAAAGAATATATTTTAAAGTACTTATGCGTAAATTATATTTTTAGTTTTGTTTTCTTATTGCAGAAGAACATACTGATTTTCTCCACAACCCGACCTTGACAACGCGACTTATAGTTGGCCGCTTTAAAAGTATTTTTGACGTAAATCTATTCCTACATGTTAAAATGTTTGCACCTGTGTTTTAATTATTGTTACGGTAAAAGATTTTAAAATTAAGAGGTAAATCATTGAAATCATTGTTATGCGAGGTATAAGTATTGTTTGACCAACTGCTTAACCAGTCAAAATCATTGCAACGATCACGTTATTGCGAAGAAATTTGACTTGAAGTTTGATCCCTCTACATAAATTTGGTAGTTTAAGGTTTCTAAGTAAAAAAAAAGGAATAAAATATATTTGCAAAAATTCGGGTTGGCACCTTCGGCTGGAAGTGAATTATCGATCAAATGATTAACTTGCCCCTGTTCTTTAAAATTGGACATAAGGTTTCTCTTACGAATTTCTTTTGCATCAAATTAAGTCATTTGAAAAAATGTATTATATTGTTTTGATGATTTAAGAAATTCTTTGAGTAGGATGGACGTGAGCCTGATATCAGTTCCTTGAAAACTGATGTTGGTTCCGGAATTTTGGGTAGATTTACTAGATTTACTTTGCCACCACTACTCCACAGTCCATGAGCTTCAGCCGCCCATTTTTTTGCTTGGCATGAGTTGCATAATCTTATCCATTCTGCCAATAATCACTATCATTTAGCTCAGCATAGTCAAGAGTACGATCATACGGAAACGCAGAATTCAATAAATTACGTTGGCTGCGACTTCTATTCCTTGCTGATCGTGCATTTTGCTGTGCCAATTGATGGGAACGTTCAGCGCTCAATTCCCGTTGTCGGTTCGCCTAAGTTCGAAAATGTTGGAACGTTCAATGCTCGATTCCCTAGCACGGTTTTTTTCACTGATTGCTCGTCGAGTAGCCAGCCTATGCATATTATTTTCAACCGCTGTTTCATTGTTGCGCAATAGTCGCAGTCGCTTTGCAGTAGCATTCTGTCGTGAAAGCCGAGTTCTTTTTCTAGGCATTACTAACCTAAAGGAACTAAAATTAAATCAAATAGGTAAGTATCATTCATTGAACATTTAAGTCATTACACGATACACGATATTCCTATCATTAATAGATAATAATTATTGTATTATGATTTTGAGATCACTGCCACGGTGGCGATTACGGTCACTTTTTAGTCAGATTACCAAAAGGGTTTTGGAAAAATAAGTAGCACCACACGAATGTTATTTTTAAAAATCATGTTATTTATATAGTTATACATTAGTGTAATAGTGTATAATGATGTGTACAAAGACACAACATAATAATATATTTTATTTATCCAACTAATGTATAGTACATAGATTTTACTTAAAATTTCTAGTCAGTCTTTGCAACAAATCAAGTTAAAAAATAATGTTTCTTTAAAAGATTAAAACTAAAATATATATATATAATATGAATATAATTTTTTAGTGGTTAGTATCAATAACATTTATACTCTCAACTTATAACAGTAAATTTATAATTAACATTATTAGACTTGTGGAAAAAAATATATATAAACACATTCGAGCTCTTTTTTAAGCGATCGTGCGTTCATATTTTCACAACATTTTCATCTTAACATGCATTTTAAAGTTTAAACTATTCAGAAGAGTAGATAATTAACAACACATGTTCTTTCAGTCTTGAATTTGATTAAAAAATTGTTTTTCGTTTCTGAAATTGACGTTTAGAAAATCATTTAAATTTTGATTGAATTTGATTTTTCTAAAAATAAAAAAAAATATATGTTAGAAAAGATGTATCACGTTTCTAAGAGTTTTGTTTTCCATTTAGCTAAGTCAAACAATCATTATTACCAGTCCTTCTAGTGATTTCTTATTCGTCCTAACTAGTTGTTGTCTTTCTTTCGTTCTTCTTTTACTTTCTAAAAGTCTAAAATATATGTATAATGTATAAATACAATTAACAATAATATTCCTTAACTAAATCATTATTGATTGTAAACGATAATCCTTACTTTTCTTTTACGATTCGTTGTTGTTCCATGTTCCAACAATCTTTGAAGTCTGTACAGAAAGGTAACCATAGTGGGAAGAAATCTTTTGGTGCGACATCTAAAAGACTTTTACTGGTTTTCGGTTGGAACTGATAAAATCGCATTAGTTTAATAAACCTAAAAAAAATAAAACTTATATTTTATCAAGTCATAGCATTTTAATATTGCGTTTTAATATAATATGATACAATATCAGAGCAGTTTGTACTTACAGTTTTTTACTTTCTTCCAAGTTTTCGTGTTCATTTTCTAGTTGTTTGTGCGCTGTAAAACGTAGGTATACAATTAATATTTAATAAATTTATTTCAATCTTGGGTTAACTGTATAATTTGGATCTTTCTAAATATTTAAATTTGTGTAAATGGTAGAGGTTAATGCATTTTTCTTGAATTCACGTAATTATTTTATTTGATATTATCAAGTATAATTATATGTATATTTATTTGTGTTTAAAAAATATTCCAAACTATACAATAAAAATTTCTGGTTTAATAAGAGTTAAAATATTATACCCATAGAAATAAATGATTCCATTTTAGTTTTGAACGGTTCCAAGCTATCATAAGCAGACGATAATATTACTTTGTCAGCTTTTTTTTTGCAACCTATAAAATTAAAAACAAATGAACATTAAACGAATACTTCATATTGTTTTTGTGAATAAAATATATATTGCAATACTGACCAGCCAATTTTATTTTTAATTCTTTAAGACCTTGTTGTAAGTCATCAAAAGTTACGTGCGCTGCTCGATCTACATCACTGGGCTCCGGCACAGGTAATGTTTCTTTCATTGGTTCTTTACATTCATTTATGTATGTTTGTACAATAAAATGTAGCAAAGTCATTGAGTTATCTATAAAACATTTAGTATCGTAAGTCGAGACGTATAAAAAAAAAATAACTAACAAAAATAAAAAATAATATGTTTATATGGCATACATGCGGATGTAGATTATCGTTTTGAATAATCGAATTTTTTTTACGGATTTCATTTTTGTTATGAAAGAAAAAATTAGATTGATAAAATAGAAGGTATTCAACGGTTAGATTTTTTTTAGTCTTTAGATATGACAAATTTTAAATTTTTTAATATCTTAGATTTAGAGTCGGACTATGAATATACCTATTGGTTTTACATTGACGTTTTATTTAAAATTTAGATCACTACACAGGTACTTTGCGAAGATAAAAGTACGGAAACGGGAATATATATTTACGCAAAACCGGTTTCGCTGTAATCGAAAATCGGATAACCGTAGTCCGTAGATAGGTATGTACCGTACCTACTTGAAATTTAAATCGAACGCCGTACCTACTACCCAAAATATTACGGTAGTACATACTAAAAGTCCAGGCACATTCAAAACGTAGTACTATATAGCAGAACGTATTTTTTATAAATATATTTTCTTCACCTTTGCTTTTGACATCTCGAAGTTTAGGTAAGATTTCCAAACCGAATCCGTCTGCTTGACCACGTTGCCGATTACCTCCATTCATGTAATTGCCCAATGCTAATATGATGGCCAACACTTTTTTCAAACTCTCCGAAGTCATTAGGAACTATATGTAATAATAACAACCACGAGAACGTATCAATATCATTAGTACAGTAGGTATGTAAGATCATAGTTTTATATTTCGTATAAAATTTACTCTAGAAGTGGCCTTCATGTTATTTAATTTGTTTGCTATGTTGTTCAAAGCGTCATTGAAATCTGATTGGAATATTAAGCACGCTACGCGCTCGCCAAAGTGTGGTATTTCACTGAGTTCTAACAGGAACTGTTCTGGTTTGTCGAGTGGTTGGTCTGGATGAGATGTCACATGGCCTTTAATCAATTCCAATTCTTCATCTGTCGCCGACTGTTTGACAACATAATATAAAGACGAGTATATTATTATAAACGAAACTCGAATAATGTCATCATGGTAAGTACTAATTAGTTATTTCATATTATAAAAGGTACTTGATACTTACCACTTCATAAA